CAGCCCTCACATGGCACTCCTGTGTGCTTCTCTGTGTCTGTGCCCAATTTCCCCTGGCGTAAGGCATAAGGACACAGTATATATTGGATCGGGGCCAACTTAATGACCTCATCTTATCTGATTGTAACATAACAACTATTTCTAAATAAGGCCATACTCTTAGAACTTCAACATACAAATTTGGAGGTGGAGGACACAATTCAATCTATATACCACAAGGCCTTCCATTTACTTGCCTGAGTCAGTCTTCTTATCCCTGAGGCCATCTGTCCTATGTCCCTCAGGCTCCTTCTTCCCTATTTAGTCACTAGAGGCTTTCCTTGAGCCAACAATATGGTTCCTGCCCCAAGAACAATCTGACAAAGCCCTGTATACTGCTTCCTGGTGTCTGTGGGTGACAGTGGCTTCATTAATTTGTTCTGCTGTTGCTCATTCAGCAAACATCACCTGCATACAATAATAGTCACCTCTCAGGAAAGCTTCTTAGGTGGATTTCCAACTCCCAGGTCATGTGGGGCTTTCAGACCTCTGCAAGGCACAGGGGCAGGCCGTTTCCACACCTCTCAAGTCTGAGTCTCGGGGTTCTGGGACCTCAGGTTCAGATGGGAGCTGGAGGGGGAGGGGAGGACATTCGCACACAGGTCCTTCCACAGATCCTGCTGAAGAACATGAACACTGGGGACTTGACCATGTTCTACTATGGAGACTGGCTGTCCCAGCGGAAGGGCAAGAAGACCCTGGTGTGTGAGATGTGTGCTGTCATTGATGGGGAGGAGATGATGGAGTGGACTTCCTACACTGTCACAGTGAAGACCAGCAACATCCTGGGTGGGTTGGGTCCCCCCATCTCCCACTACCCTTGTCCTCCACTCTCAAATTGTGGTTCAGGACCTGGATTCTGGCCATTTCCAGTGTGTCACTTCCTGTGGGGACAAAGTATTTCCTCCCCATGACCAACCAAATTGGCTCTTCCCTGCTCCTTTGGGGAAGTGGGGATAATATTTTTGGGGAGGGTGGGCCATGCTTTTGAGAAGGTAGAGGAGCTTGACTCAGAGTCCTCTGTCTTCTTGTTGCCACCTAATTCCCCTCACCCTGGTGCTGTGTATTTTGGGCACATTGTGCCAGCTCTGGCCTGAGGTCTTAGGATAGAGCTGTGACTCTGGGACCCCTGTGAGTTGACATTCTGGTGGGGTCAACACAGTGGAGGTGGTGAGACTGTGATGGATGGATACCAGCCCAGGTGCTGCTGGGGAGCCCAAAGTGGGGGTGCCTTACCTGAGATTAGGGGTGAGGGTGATAGAGGCTTCCCAGAGGTGATGCTAAAGTCAAGCTGAGAAAGATAGAGCTACTGAGGCAGAGGGGACACTCAGAGGAAGGGCTTCAAACAGAAGTACTAGTGTGACAAAGGATAGAAGTTGAGAGGGACTACAAACTCATCTGCTCACAGAGTCAGTGTCTCTACCCACCCTCCCCTGTGCCAAGCCCACTCTCTGGAGGCCATTGCAAAGAATTTGGCAAATTCGTTAACAGTGTAAATGACTACTGCCAGATTAATTTGTTGGCTATGGTAGCTTACATTTTCAACAGAGAAGCATTTAGCTAAAGAAATGAAGTTCTCCTAGTAGAATCTCAGGCGTGAGTGATGGGTCAGTAAATCTGGTAAAATTTGGTTTGGGTGCCTTCCTTCTCCCTTTTCTCCTCACAGGAGAGCCTACATCTTTATTGCTTAAAGTTCTAAGTGTCCACATGCTTTCAATTCCTCGTTGCCCTTGTGATGTATTCTCAGAAAATAATTGATAAGTTCATTGGTAACGGAGGTATGTGTCAGAAAAGCTTCACAGAGTCGCCTCTCCCAGAAGCACTGACTTTGTAACAAAGGCCAGTACCTCTGTTTGGCTTAAGTAAACAAATGTCAATCAGAGGTAGACTGGGGAGTGCAGAACCCACCTGCTTCTTTCTAACTCTCCTTGAGCAGGAAGTAGCCTGTATTTTTAATGGTAAAGGCAGTGTACCTGTCATGCCTTTTAAGTTTGAAAGCATTTCCCCAGAAATAGATACATTTTTTTTACTAAAAACTCATAGTTACTATGACTACAGTTAGACTCAAATCATAAGCAAAACACAAAAAGAAGATAAAGCATAGAATTGGAGACTTGGGAGTCCCAAACATGTACTGGCCCTTTTTCACTTCACTCTCTGGCCTTGTCAACTCTGAACTCTGTCCCGCTTCCCCCCTGGCTCTTCTAAGAGCTCCAGGACCAAGACCAGAGCAGGAGAGCTGTGTGAAAGAGACTGGCACCCAGAGCCTCGCCTGTGTACCCACAGGTGCAGGCACCGATGCCAACGTGTACATCATCATCTTCGGAGAGAACGGGGACAGTGGGACCCTGGCCCTAAAACAATCGGCCAACTGGAACAAGTTTGAGCGGAACAACACTGATACCTTCAACTTCTCTGACATGCTGAGCCTGGGCCACCTCTGTAAGCTGAGGATCTGGCACGACAACAAAGGTAGCTTCCTCCCAAGGCCAGGGTGGTAAAAGGTGGTCCTCAACTCTCCCCCAACCTCCCTGCCTTCCTGGCAGTGTGTAGACACTATCTACCCCAGTGGGGAGGCAGCGCCACAAGGTTGGTTTCTGCCACTTGGATGCTCCCGTCAGAGAGCCAATGCTTCTAGGCAGATGTTGGAGATGAAGTTTAGTTCCTTCTGTTTTCTCCCTAGGTGATTAGTGGCTCTTCATTATTTGGGTTTTTTCATGTCTAAGAATAAATTCTATTTTGTTCCGGCATAAAAATTAGAAAAAAAAAGATAGGGCTAGGGGTATAGCTCAGTGGTAGATTACTTGCCTAGCATGCATGAGGCCCCAGATTTGATTTGAGAGAGAGAGAAAGAGAGAGAGAGAAAGAGGTATCTTATCAAATTCACTTCACATATATGTTCTGTAAAGGATTATGTTTGTTCACTTATAATAGCCTAAAAGTGGCTAAATTCACTTATAAATATAAACTATAAATAAGATAAAAGCCAAATGAGAAATTTATTTTTTAACTTTGAAAAATACCTAAGGAATACTTTGTCACATCTGTAGCTCTGATGAAACTTATGCCCTCAACATTTCTTTATCATTTTCCTGCCTGCAGGCCTCTCTATTTTCTCTGGCTTTGGGCCTGCACATTCTAGCTGATGCATGAGAATTGAATGGTTCGTTATTAAATTTTGCCTATTCGATGCATGCTGCTTCCTAACTCATCCCCTTGTCTTGTGTTGGAACTCTCTACCAAACAGCCTGCTCAAGGCCTTCTCTGCCTTTTCTCCAAGTCTCTTCTCCCCCCAAGTCTCCAGAGCTGTCCCAAGGCTGTGTTTCTCCTTACTTCTCCCAAACTCCCACTGTAGACCAGCCTGTCATCACAGACATTGCTGAGTCCCAACTCAGCCGCTGGCAACTGCTTTTCTAAAGGAGCAAAACAGTTGTGCTTTAACCTGGGGCACAGTTAGTATTTCCCACGGCACAGAATAAGCTCAGGTTAGGCACAGATAAAATAGCCATTCTTCAGAGCAATGAAATAATGAAGACTTGTACAGCACTCCACAGTTTTCAAATTTCCTGTGTATCTATTCATGTCCCACCACATCTGAAGTGTTCCTGATGAGCCTGGAACTCTGTGAGGTATAAATGATACAAATATTTGATTCTTTTTTTTTTTTTTGCCGTACTGGGGTTTGAACTCAGAGCCTACACCTCGAGCCACACCAGCCCTTTTGAGATAGGTCTCAAGGACTATTTGCCCAGGCTGACTTTGACCCATGACCCTTCTGATCTCTGCCTGCTGATTAGCTAGGATTACAGATGTGAGCCACTGGTGCCCAGCTAACACATTTGATTCTTAAGCATACTTTGCGGGCTGGTGGAGTGGCTTGAGAGGTAGAGCACCTGCCAGGCAAGTGTGAAGCTCTGAGTTCAAACCCTAGTACTGCCAAAAAAAAAAAGAAAGAAAGGAAAAACACTTTGCAAACTTCTCCAATAAAAGCACTTTATTGATGCTCTTTTCTACAACCAAGGAATGCTGAGGCCTGAGAAAGCTTGAATATTCTACTTGGAACCATGCAGCAGGGAGGGAACACAGCCAACAGTCAACTGCAGGTCTTCTGGTTGCTGTTTTAACCCCCAGTGCTGTGTGCCACCACATCCTGCAGAAAAAGATTTCTTTATCTGTTCATTTATGGTAGACTTTTCATCACTGTGACAAAATAGGTAACAAAAACAACTTAAGGAAGGAAGGATCGCCTCATAGTTTCAGAGGTTTTAATATGTGGTCAGCTGGCTCTGTTGCTTCTGGACTGTGGTAAAACAGATTGTCGTGGAGGAATGTCCTGAAGGACAAAAGGTATTCACCTTGTGAAGGCCAGAAAGCAAAGAGAAATAATAGGAAGAGGCCAGGGCCAAGATATACCCTTCAAAGGCAGCTCCCAGTCACCCACTTCCTCCAGCAAGGCCGTACTTTCCACAGTTCCACCACCTCCCAATAGTCTATTCAGATTTTGAATCCATCAATGGGTTTAAAACCCTCATCATTTGATCATCTCCAGAAACACCCTCACAGGTATCCCCAGAAGTACATTTTATTGACATCCTAGCTTTTCTCAATCCAATCAAGTTTACAATCAAGGTTAACTATCACATCATTTAAGTGGAGTCATAAGTTTATAGGAAGGAACCTTCTCAAATACCCATAATGAATCTCTCATCTTTCACAAGAGGAAACGCACAAAGACCTTTAGTTTTTTTCTCTACCTTGTCCTCATCCATCATGGCTTCTTAGGAATACTAGCAGAAGCTGACTAGTGTTTGAAAGTCTGACTGCCAGTCATAATTATGAAGGCCCCAAACACTGCACAACGTCAGGCTGAGCCCCTCCCTGTGGCACTCAGCAGTGGACCACTCAGCCAAGACAAGTGTGCTACCCTGAGCCTGGTGTGTGTGTCTCTATAGACCTACTTTGAGAGAACTGACAGATCAGTAGGGACTATGAAGAAGGATGTGGGAACATAGTGGGGAGTCAATCAATGTCAGTTTCCCCTTCAGCCAAGCGAGACCTAAGAAATACTAAGTCCTTTAACCTATTCTGCCATAGTCTCTACCTCAGAAAGAACAGAACTGAAAGGGCTAGAATTCTGAGAAAAAGTAGTAGCCCAGCCAGTTTTAACCATTCTGTCTCGATTCAGCCACACTGTGAGACGAAAGGGCAAGAGATTCCCTGCCCACCTCCCAATCAGACCAGAAGAGGGGTAGGGAAGAATTTCATGTAAGCTAAGATGATCCCCCTTTTCAAAGACGGTACCACAATGCCAGAGTCATTTACAGTGTGGGTGTTTCACTCATAAGAGGTGAAGGTGGAAGGGATGAGCAGAAAGACTGTCCATGTTAAATAAAGACCACACTTTTGGAGAAATCACTCAACAGTATTTGGGAGTGGTGGAACTGTCCAGGGTTCTGACCACTCTGATTTCTGTTTACTCTAGACTTCATAGCCTGATCTGGGGTTCCTGCCTTGGCAGCTGACTGTTTTCAACCTGACCTACTATAGCTACCCAGATGCTTGGCCAGGTGGTCAAGATTACCTCACATACTACCCCTAAATTGACTGTATAAAAGGCAGAGGGTTACTGACCAAAGATCAGAACTCATGTCTATGGCTCCTGCCTGTAAAGGCCACAGTCTTCAGCTTCATTGTATCCAACCTGAACCCGACCTAACTAAACCTTTTACTACAGAATACACCTTCAATGTCTGCCCTCACCCCCATCTGTTTCTCAGGGAGAACCTTCCAGAATCCTCTTGCACATTCCTACCTCCATGAAGTACCCTTTCTTCTTATCTAGGAAAGTAGAGGATACTATATTTGTGAAAAATGCTCCAAAGATCATTCAGTAATGTTTTAGGAGTCAGGTATCCTGTTTGTTTCCAGTGATGTCTAAGTTTCCCCTATCTCTGTTATGACCTCTCCTTAGACAAAATGAACAGTTCAGACTCTTTACTACTACGTCCTAACAATCCCCATTGTTTTAATATTGATATCAGTTAATAAATTGAGTATGATTGGTTCTCATTATTCATAGTAGTAATGTTGTCTTGGAGGTTCACCAGTACATGATCGATTGACTCAATTTCTTTGGGCCTTTGGCAAGGCAGCACATCATGGTGGGAGTGCATCGCAGAACAAAGCCACTCACATTAAGACTCAGGAAAGAGAAAAGAAGGAGCCAGAGTCCCCTTGTCCCCTTCAAAGGCACATTCTCAATGACTTAAAGATCTCCTATCAGGACCCACCTCTTAAAGGTTCCAATAGTACTGCCATGGGGACCAAGCTTTTAACACATGAGCCTTCCTTTGGGTCTGAACATTTAAGATCCAAACTATAGCAGACAGTGTCAAAGCCATGAATAAGAGTAAATGGGAGAGTCAATGGTGAAAGTGCAGCTTGAGGAAAACAAGAGTGGCCTAGAGGAGGTTCCTGAGAATTCTAGCATTTGAGGTTGGATAACGAAAGAGAAGGAAGAGAAGAGGAAAGAGAAATTATCTCCATATTTTGAACTTCCAAACTGGAATGTATATGGGGAAGAGGGCCTCATCTGGGGAATTCTGTAAGGAGGATTGTTCACTGGTCATGAAATCCCAAGATATGGTGTGTTGGCTCCTGACTCCATAGTTTCTTGAACATAAATTTAATAGAGTAAACATGAGCACATTTTTTCAAATAGCAAAGTAATTCAAAATATTTAAAATGTTTATTTCTTACTAGCAAAGTCCTAGAATCCCTTGATGAGAAATTTTGTTACACAGCCCAATGCTTAAGTCACTGTAATGGAGAGAAAGGAAGTGGGAATGAATAGCCTTTTGTCATTTATGGATTCAGGTTTGTCATTCATGGATTTGGGATTATCAGACAAAAATATTCTTCATTGGCTCCTAAGTATTTCTCTCACCATACACACAAAATTCTGGGGAACCTTTTTCACATAGCCTCACTCTCTCTTCTTTCTGGTCCTTCTTGTAATGTGGAATTTTCTTTTTTTTTTTTTCTGGCTATTCTGATTCATCCAGAGAATGGTGTGATACATGTTGAGTTTGGGCAATAAGGACTCTCTAGGATTAACTGTTGTCATTCAAAAGGCTCTCTCTTTTCTTCAGTGTCTTCTCTTTAATAGTTCCCTTAACTTTGAGGCCAACCTTTATTTAATTCTCATCTTGCATGAAATCACTTACATCTTTTGGCCAAGCTAACAGTCATTCATAAGTAGATACCCAAAAGATAACCTTGTACCTGCAATATGCTTCTCCTGCTAAATTCTTATGTAACCTTCAAATGCAGATTAATATCACCCCTCTTTATGAAGTCAGATGCTCCCTGCTCTGTGCTCCTAACCTGTTCTTCTCATATGTCCATTTGTAATACTCACAATGCTGAGTTATAATTGCCTTGCCAATTAAAATTGGAAGACATACAGCCTC